CAAGAACAATAATTGCTCCTAAAATTAATATTAATAAAATTAATACAATAATTTTAACTCGAGTAGCTTTTTGATATGTTTCTGCTTGTTTAATTTCTTCAACAGCTTTTGATACTTGATGTTCTGTATGGTCAATATTATAATCAATACGATCAATAATTGTTCCTTGTTCATGAATTAACATATTTAATTGTTGTGTCATTTCTGCTAATTCTTGAACCGTTTTAGCTATTTTTTTTATTTCTGCAACTCGTTGATCTACCATTTCTTCTGACTCACTTAACATATTTAATTGTTTTTCATCAAATCCAAATGAATATACACCTTCTTCTCCTTCAGTAGTAAAACAATCGTCAAATTTTTTTGTTCTTTGTTTTAATTTGAGTAAATAACTTTTATTTTGACTTTTAAATTGTTCAGCAACTTTGTTAACTTCTTCTGCTAAGTTTGTTTGAACATTTTGAATTAATGTTGGATTATCTTCTTCTTTAAATCTATTAAATTTAATTACTTCATTTTGTAATTGTTTTAAATTCTATATCATTATTATTTCTTATTTCTTTCTCTTTTGAATGACAAATATTATTCATTAACAAACCAATTTGATTTCATTTGTTTTCATATCAACTTCTTTACCAATACTTTCATAATCATCTAAATCAATAGACAAATATTTCTTCTGTAATCTTGACAAGTCATTGACTATAATAATAAGTATCTAACTATCACAATTAAAAATGTTTCATTTAATAAGTCAAATATCAAACTTTTATAAACAATGTCTTTACTTTTGTTTTTAATTTCATCAGCAGTTTGTGCCCATGTAAGAGGTTCAGAAATGGTAACTGTTTGAACAGAATTTTCAACAATAGTCCCACCTAAGAAGTTACTTCTTTGGTCATAAAATTCTGTAGTCCAATCTTTAGTAAATCCAATGATATTCATTTGATTTGTTTGTAGTTTAATTTTCTTGAGATATTTTTTATTAATAACAAATAATATAACAAAATGTTGTTATCAAAAATAAAAGTACTTCCGAAAAACCCATTCAAATTAAATACACAAAAAACTTACTTATCTTTTCTTTATTACAATAAATTAAATTTTTTAACATTTAACAAGACTTTGTTGAGGTGAAAGAATACATCCATGAGAAGACATTATCGATAATATATGTTGATTCATTTTCTTTCCTTCTTGTAAGATAAGATTTGACCCATAGATTTTTGAACCAATTTGTGCATTTTGGATTCGTTTCATTTGGGAACATACAACGCTTTGTTTTCCTTTTTTAAATTCAAAACAAGCCCAACAATAATCTGAAGCAATTTTAATAAGACAATCATTTGTTTTTGCATCAGCATTTCTTCTTTTCTTTTTTTTATCTTCTGATTAGTTATCAGTAATAACTTCTTCAAAATAACTTTTACCATCCCGTGTAATTGATTCAACTACAAACAGTTGTGATGTAGTCTTTCCTTTTTTATATAATTTCTTTAAACAAACAGTAAACCCATTATCAACTAAAATACGGAATAAGAATGACTGTTGTGCAGAGTCTCTTTCCGTTGATGCTCTTTTAGCCAATAACAAATCTTTTTGTTTTTCACTTTGAGAAAGTGCAACTGCATAAACACCATTTCCTAAACTAATAACTGATTTTCTTTCAAATGGACTAATAAGTTTCATTACTTCTTTTGTTATTAATGATTTATTAAGTTTTACGAAATCTTTAAATGTAGCTTCAAGAATTTTGTTGATGATAATGTCTCTCTTAAAGATAAAATAATTACAAATGTTATTAAAAATATAGTAAAATGACATTTTTTTTTTATTTTCCAACAAGTTCAATTACAAATGGAAAATATAGAATAAAAATTTATTGAAGTTTTACAGGTATTAAAGAGGCATATTATTATATTATTTCTTTTTTTTTGATGTTTATAAAAATTATAAGACTCAACAGAGAATAAAAATTTATTCTAAAACTATAAAAACAAAAATTCATTTGATTGTTTTTATAATTTGATTTTTGTGATGATTAGTTAAAATTATCTTTTCTTTAATTTTATCTTCGGGTGTTAAATAAAACTTATAAAAAATATACAAAAATCTTTTAATAACAAAAACAATATTTCTAATATCCCTTATTATGAGGTTTTACGTTTTTCAAAAGAACCAAACAACATCATATTTCTAAATTATTCTAAACCAACACACTTTTATTTATAACTCCTTTCTTCCAAAAGAACAAATAAACCTTTAATAATTCTTATTGAAAATAACAATATTTTTTCCATATAAGATTTGTTATTATAACTTACTTTTTTAATAATTCAGTGAATATTACTTATTTTTACTAAATAATGTTGAAGTTTTGTTATTTAAATGGTTTATTATATCTTTTATATAACCATTAATGCCAATAAAAATAATAGACTATTTTCCTTATTTTTTCTTAGATTTTTATAATGACAAATGAAACAAAATATTTTGTTTAAGTATTATTCTTTATGGAAGTTATTCTTTTATTGGTAGAATTTAAAGAATCATTGTTTATTTTATTTTCTTCATTTTTAATTTATAGAAACCACTTATGAAATGGTTAATAAGAATATAAACCATTATTATAAAGAAATTAATATCTGAGTTTTATATCTTTTTCCAAAAGATCAATATTAAAAATTATTTACTTATTTCTTTTCATAAAATAACAAAAAGTATTGTTTTGTTAAATATAATATTATAAATTATTATTTTTTTTATAAAACAATTTCTTCATCCTTTAATATTAAGTTACTTTCACAAACTTCTCCTTCATCTACTTCTTGAATGTTCCTATGACTCTCTTGTAATTCAGTTTCTTGTTTTTTACTTGCTTGATTTAATTCATCTTCTTTAATTGGTATTATTTTTGGTTGAGGAATTGAAGGTAATGGTCTACTACTATTAATAGGAATAGGTGGTAATGGTTTTTCCTTTTTCTGAAATACCCGTTGTTGACCATTAGAATCAACAACAATAATCTGGTTTTCTGAAGGTTCTTTTGTAAGGTTTTTGAAATAATTAATGATATTAGTTATTCCTTCTTTAATTTGGTTTTGAAGTTCAGAATCATCTTGTTCTTGTTGTTTATATCGATAATATCCTTGTACAGTTTTTACTTTAATAATCCAATCTTTATATTTGACTCCTCCTATTTGTTTTGCAATAGTTCTTCCTTCATCTTCTTCAAACTTAATTAATAAATCTTGACACCCATCTTTTTTAATCATTCCATCAATCTCATATGGTTCTATCAACGTTACTTTACCACAATTATCAAGAATATCACTAACTTCTTTTAATGTGATGTCTAAAGGAACTTCAATGAGGATAAGACATTTCTCTTCTTCCATAACTGAAACTTTTAGAGTTCGTTAAAGTAACTTTTCAATTAATTTTATGACCAACAAAGGAAATAAAGATAACAAAAGTCAATCTATTCAAAAACGAAAATCATTAAAGATAAGAAAAAATAGTCATTATACAACTCAGTACTTTCCATTTAATTATAATAGACAAATGTCATCTTAAACCCACCCATTTCTATTACTGAGTTGTTCTTTAACGGAACTGTATTTTGTAATATCAACCCAGTGTCAACAGCACTTCCATTTCTTCCTTCATTTGTAAATAAATATTGGTCATTTTCTTTATCATATGTAATAGTTGCATGTCTATGAGAAATAGACTTTGCATCTGTATATTTATTTAGATAAATGAAACTACCATCACGTGTTCCTTCTTTTCCTCTTCCGAAAACAACAGGGAATTGAGTTTTTGTATCAAAATCAAATACAACAGTGTTATTTCGTTCTCCACAAAGTAATCTAGCTTTAGTGTGTTTTCTTTTCTTAGTTCTTTTTTCTTCATATTCTTCTTCTTCTGAAATTTTTCTTCTAATTTTCTTTCCTCTATTAGTTTTTGTTGGTTTTGGTTCTTTCTTTTCAATAGGATGTTGTTTAACTTCTTTTATTGCCTCTTTAAAAGAAACGGTAAGTGAACTAACTAAAAATAAGAGATAAGAGTCTTAATGTTGTTTTTTCTTCATTTCATTACTTTTCTTTCATTCAAAAACACCTTATTAGGGTTTTTCATTAAACTAATTTAGAAAAGTAGATTACATGAAGATTAGTTGAAAGATTAATGGTTTTAAATCATATGCCATCAATAAAAAAAAAAGAGTAACAAACTTTTAGTTCTAGTAGAAGGGTTTTCTTTACATTTATTAATAAGTTCAGCTTTTAACATCTGTACCAATGAATCAAATGAAGTAAAATAAATGACTTAAAAAAATAAATATTAAAATGATACAAAATTAATAGAAATAAATAAAGAGCAAAAATGTTAAATACAAACTGTTGAAAAATTACTTTGTGGAATTCGTTCTTTTAAATGTTTTGACTCCATATGAAACTGTCTTGTTATTCTTCTTTTATTTAAAATATTTAAATATATTTTTAATAAAAACAAACTTTATTCATTTCTAGCCAAATTGAATATTCTATTAAAATTGGATTAAGCCCATCTTGTATTTGATTACGTATTTCTTCTACCTTTTCTTTATCCATATCTTTATTCTATTAAAATTTAGTTCACTTCCTTTTCAAAGTTCCTTTTTTTTGAAAAATTTTTTAGCTTTTTCTTTCATATTCTCCTCTTTCTTTAAGATTAAACTGTATTAATCGTAGAGAGTTGTTAAACTTTTTTCTTTATAAATATTTTAATTTCTTAATCCATTGAAAACCCAAATTTTTGAAAAGCTCTAATTTTTAAGTTTTTTTAGTTCATATTTAGAATAATGATGTATTGATAGTTTTTCATTCGACAGAATTTATTAATACTATTAATTTTATTAATTTTTATTGTTATATCAAAAAATAAATTTTAAAATTATTTAATTGCTTTTTTAATTTTATTATTAATTAATCATTATCTAATTTTCGGGATTGATTATCTTATTGTTGAGTTAATTTTGTTATTGAAATTTCACAACACGGGTGTAGTTCTGATGAAACAACCCATTCTATTGCTTCCATTGTACAATATGAATATCCACTTGGTGGATATTTAAAAATTAGTGGATCAAAATATTTAGCATATCTGGCATTTATAAGTTGTGGAGTTTTAATCATAATTAATGCATTTTCTATAGAGTCAAAATCAATAAATACAACTCCACATCGTTGAGTTTGTGCAGAACAAAATGAAGGTTGATACATTAAAAATCTTAGAGCATGGTATGGTTTTAGCCAGTGTTGAATATCGAATACTGAAACAAATGAAGGAATACCAGCACATGCAACAACATTTGATTCTTTTTGTTTAATAATTTGAGTAGAAAAGATTGAATTTGGAAATAATTCAATTGAAGATAACAATGATAATTCTTGTGGAAGTAATTCTTTTAAATGACAAAACTCTAATGCAGTTGTTTTAAGACTTAAATATGATGGAATTTTAGTGATATCTTTATTTATTTTAATCCATTTAATAAAATGAACAACAAATGATATAGAATAAAATAAAGAACATGATGGAATAACATGTTGAATCAGTTTCTGTAATACATATACATAACGTGAAAGTATTTCATTTTTTCTTAATTCTTCAGTAATATTTGATAATAACTGTAATAAAGAAATACAAGATGAACTTTCAACAACACTTAATTTAACTAAAGATGATGATGTAGATATAAATTGAAAGTTATTAAATACTTCAATACAACATGAAGAGAAATAATCACTTTGTTCTAGTTTTTTTTGAATTTGTTGTAAAAGAATTTTATTTGATTGTTCTGGAGTAATTGAAACTATAATAAAATCATTTGCATTAATAAATGGAAGTAATGACATAATTTCAATTGACTGAGTAGGTACTTCTTTTAATGCTGACTTAAATGCTCCTAATAACCCATGTGAAGTAATTTCTTTTTTTTGACAGTTTAAGTATATTTTTTCAAATTCTTGTTCATCAATATCAACCACAGATAAATATTGAGAAAAACTTGAATGAAATTCTATAATATGAAGAGGAAGTTGAGTTGTTTTGACTGTGAAACAACATGGAAAAAGATGACTATTCATTAAATGTGTTATTTAAACAACAAAAAAAAAATATTAGATCATCTTTATTTAATAGTTCATGTCGCTAAAGTTGAAATATATTCAAATTCTATTAAAAGGAAATATTAAATCTCATCATGAACGACTTAAACCTTTCTTTCAAACACTCCTAACTTGTAAAGTAGAAGAGGGTATTCAGTCTGGTGTTATTATTGAAACATTGATTGGTCTTCATGTTTTTTATAATGGAATTCAACAAAGTCATCCAATGTACCAAGAACTAACTGAAACACTCAGTAAATATATTCAGGCACTTCCTTCTATTACTGTTAATGAAAAGCATACTTCATATCTTAAAGAAGTACTTAATCATCCAAAAGGGTCTTCAATACATGAAATTGTATTTAAGTCTTTACTTGATATATTAAATAAAAAAGAGTCAACAGAGGTTAGAGTTATGATTAATGTAATGAATACTCAAAAATTTACTGCTTTTAGTGATGAGGAAAAAAAACAACTCATAGAATCAATGGAACAAAATCACTCAAATGAACAAATAGTTCGACCAATTATTGCCTTATTAAATGAACAATATACTATTGATAAATTTAATTTACCAAAGAAGTGTTCTATTATAGAACAATTAGAATATCATATTGCCTTGGCACAACAAGACTCAAATACAATTAGAGATTTAGAAAGTACATTATCAGAAATATTATTATTGGATTATTTTCGATTATCTAATTACTATGACAGAATTTGTTTTGCTCTTAAATTACTTTCAACACATGACCCAAGATGTTTAGATGACTTTAGAAAGCATTGTGTTTTTAACAATATTCCAAATGACAAATTGAAAACCATTATTAAAATATTTTCACCTATTATTACTGAAGAATTACTTCCTCGTTTCCTTGAAACAACTAGATCACAAATTTCAATATTTCATTCATCAACAGATTGTTCAATGGTTTGTTTATTTTAAAGAAAAGAAATAAAAGAACTAATGTAATAGATTCAATTCACTAATCTTATTCAATTTACTGCATATTTTTGTATTGAAAAAGCTAATGAAAATGCAACACAAAATTTGTTAAATTATCTTATAAATCTTATTGACTATCCTCCTTCAAATAAAGATATTTGTATTATTAATACCCTTCCATCATATTTATCTCTAAATGATTATAACCAATATAAACTAGTTATTGATCATATTATGAACATTTTTAAACGAGCTGATAGGGATGCTGTATCACAAAAACAAAATGATATTACTAACGTTCTTAATAGTATTTATGAGGCATTAACTTCTATGGCTAAAAGTATAACAAATGAAGAAATAAGATTTGACTTATTAAAACAAATAGTTGGAAGATTTATTCAATTTGGTAATACAACAAAAACTGATATAGACATAAGTAAAAGAAAAGAAACTGAATTGATGGGAAAATTATTGAAGCCAATTAGTTTATTAATTAGTGGAATGGAAAATAGTATAAATAAAAATAATGAAAACAAATTGTTTAGAACATTTTGGTTCTATTGCGTTGTTTTAAAGTTTGTTATAAAAGAAGAGTATAATGAAATTTATTACACTGACATTAAAAATATTGCAAGTAATCTTCCACCTTTAATTATGAAAAGAAGTCATATATTAGCTGAGATTGATAATGAAACAAATTCTACATTAACAAGGTTTTATTCTAATGAACAACAAAAGATGTTTATAGATAGTTTAATAAAGAGAACTGATTTTATTAATTATAATCGTGGAATACCATTAAATAGAATGTTAATGTTCATTTCTATATTTTATTTAGAATGTTTTAGATGTTCTCAACTTCGATTTGAATATATTACAGATTATCTTGATGATTCTGTTGTAGAAGATCCTTTATGTACATTTATTACTCCAGTTTATTCTTCATTATTTAAATCAGTATTTTCAGTGGCTAAAGCTGAAGCATCTAAATTAGAATTATCATTGACAGAACGAACTAAAGCATTGACCAATTTAATGAGTGTTTTTGTAATACGATTAACAACAACAAATCAAACATTGTTTTCTTTTGTAAGTTCATCTTTAAATGATTTGATTGAATCAAATAAATCTATTGTCTATAATAAAAAAATTCTCTTCTTATTACTCCATATTGTTGAAACTATTTCAAAAATGAATACAAGTAATCCTCTTGATGTTAAGAATGTTAGAATTGCACAAACAAATTTCTTTGTTGAAACACCTGAAGATTCTAATACTTATTCGACTGTAATAAAGAATGTAAGTGATTTTACAACTAATTATATTAAGCTAGGATTTAAATTACAATCTAAATACATGAGTCATTTAATTCAATCATTCATTCTTCAATTACCAACTAATTCAAGTCATACTCATGCAGGAGTTAAATTAGCTTTAAATGTTGGAAGAGAATTTATTGATATGTCTGATTTAACATTCAACATCTTTCAGAAGGCAAGTTGTACAGGAATGGTTATTGGATCAACAGACGTTGATAATATTAGAACATCTTTACTTCAACAATTAAAAACATTTGACTATTCTAATATGAAGAATGATATTACTAAAGAAGCAGTTTCATTTATAGTTGTAAATAATTTGAGTATTTCAGAGTCTAGTGATCTACTTCAAGAAATTGTTTATTCTCCAATGAGAATATTTACAAAAGAAGCTATGGAATTAGCTGTACCAAATTGGGAATGGTTAATTTGTGTAAGCTCCAAAGTTATGGGTAATTATCTTTTGAAACTTATTGGTGTTGCATGGAAAGAAACTATCAAAAAAAACCTTGGCATATTTAATAGTAAATACGTGACTTCTAATCCATTATCTAGTTCAGTAGGAAATAGAGAACAATCTACTCATGCAAGCTCTGTTGTTCCACATAGAGAAATCATTAAATTTTTCTCAAATATTCTTCCTATTATTGAGGCTTACAGAGATACTACTCGTCTTGAAATTATTAGAGACATTGTTTCATCTTCTCTTAAAGCCCAAATGACTCCTGAACCAAGTTCAGTTGGAACACGTTTTATGTTATTACTCCTTGGACTAAAAATTGTTTCATTAAGTCAAAGAGAAGGTATTCATTATACTTCAATGGTTGAGAGTATTGAAACTGTTGGATTAAATTGGTTTGAAAATCAGCCAGAGTGGTTTGAATGCAGTAGGACTCAAGCAGAACATGATATTAATATTCTTGTTGAATTTAATCAAACATTATTAAATGCTCTTCAAAGTATTAAAGAAAGAAAATTTGGATTAGATGATGAAGTCATTGACAATATTAAACAAAGAGCAATGCTTTTACTTCCATTAGTTGGGAATGAGATTGAACGAATCTCTGTATGGAATAATCCATTGAATTTGATAACAAAACAATTCCAGAATCAAAGACTCTTTTTAATGGAAAATTTACCGAAAGATTACAGAAGAAGAACAAAAGACTATATCCTTTTAGCATGGTATTATTCTCCTGCATTAGCCGTTGGGTATTATAACAGATTCCCTACAATTCAGTCATATAAACTTTTAACTGAAAAAATTCTTAGTGAACCAAACAAATTAATTAACAATGCTTTGGCTCATATTTTCATTGCAACCCCCGAACATGTAGAGGCTAATATTCCTCAATTAAATCAATTATTATATTGGGAAGCTACTGACCCTCCACACGCACTGAACTTACTTAAAAAATCCTATCATTCAAATCCATTTACAACTTTATATGCCTTAAGAGTATTAGATACTTTTGATGAACAAACTGTATTATATTATGTACCACAACTTGTTCAATCATTGAGATATGACTCAATGGGACTTGTAGAAGCTTTTATTATTAGAATGGGGAAAAAATATCAGTTAGTTGCTCATCAGCTAATATGGAATTGTGACACATATTCGACTGAGTCTACAACAATGACTGTTAAACAAGACCCAGCCTTTGTAGCAAAACTGAAGGCAATAAGTAAGAAAATTGTTGAGAATTATGATGAGAAAGAAATGGAATTATTTAAGGCAGAAAGAGGTTTCTTTGAAAACTTTACACGTATTTCTGGAGAGCTTATTCCTATTGAACGAGATCAAAGAACACAAGAATTAAAAGACAAATTAGGAAAACTAAAAGTTGAAAGAAATGATTTATATGTTCCAACTAATCCAAATGCAATGGTAGTTGATGTTTCAAATAAAGGGTGTGCATGTTTAAGAAGTGCAGCTAAAGTTCCAATTCTTGTTAATATGACTGTAAAAGATAGATTTACTGGAGAAGTTACACCATTACCTGTTATTTTTAAAGCTGGAGATGATATAAGATCAGATATGCTTGCAGTTCAAATGATTGAATTATTTGATAGAATTAATAAACATGCTGGATTAGATATTTATTTATGCCCATATCATATTATTGCTACAGGTCCTGATTGTGGTATTATTGAAGTCGTAAGAAATTCTATGTCAAGAGATCAAATGGGAGAAAAGTATGATGGTAATATGTATAATTACTTCTTAACTAAATATGGAGGAAGAAAAACTGAAGAGTTCTTTGCTGCTAGAGCTAATTTTATTCGGTCAATGTCTGCTTATGCTATTGTATCATATATTCTTCAAATTAAAGACCGACATAATGGAAATATTTTGATTGATGAAGATGGACATTTGATTCATATTGACTTTGGATTTATGTTTGATAGATCACCAGGAGGAGATATGGGAATTGAAAAATCACCATTTAAATTAACTGATGAAATGATTTCTATTATGGGAGGTTCTCCATCAGCAGAACAATTCATTTGGTTCATGGAGCAAGGAGTGAAGTCTTTCCTTGCAATTAGACAATATTACCCTTCTATTGTTACTTTGATTGAATTAATGCTTGACACTCAAATGAATGTGTTTAGACCAAACTCAATGATTAACTTAACTCGAAGATTTAATCCTGAAGGTAATTGTACTCAAGCAGCTCAATTTATGGCAGGAGTTATGAAAGAAGCTT